TCAAAAAAAATATAATATATGTCATTTTTGTTTATATTTAATTAATATATGGCCGATTTCATTTTTTATTTAATTGATATGTAGTCACCACAAGTTAACTGCCATTAACAGTTAACATATTAGGTGACATGGTATTTTAGTATAATCACACATTTGGTCTCTATTATTTATATAATCTCTCAATTTAGTCACACTTTTAATAAATTAAAATAAATTTAATCCTTCAATTGAAAGATACCACGTGTCATTGGTGCCACGTGTCAGTGGTGCTACGTATCACCATTCGATTAGAGGAGTAACTTTATTTCAATACGACACGTAGTACTAATGACACGTGGTACCAATGACACATGGCATTATTCGATTGGAGAATTAAATTTATTTTAATTTATTAAAAGTTTAACTAAATTGAGAGAATATATAAATAATATGGACAAAATGTTATATCAAAATATTTAATGATAATTAACTCGTTGTGACCATATCTTAATTAAATAAAATGAAAGTGACCATATATTATGTTTTTTAATTTGAGTGAAAAATAATTTATAAAACTCAAACGAAAGTGACAATTCTATAATTTATCCTTAAATGAAATAATTTTTAATTTAAAAATAAAGAAAATTGATTTGTATTAAAGGATAATTCTTAAAATTATCTAAAAAAACTTTCGTAAAAAATAAAAGTTACAAACCCACTACTTCCTGGGAGAGTAAAATTATAACTTGTTAATATAAGACTAAAAATAACATAAATTTGTTGTATCATAAAATTTTATAAAAACATAACTTTTTTTTAGTTGAATATGATAATATCTAGGTTAAAGCTAAAATTATTATGCACTTCATAACATTTTTTTTATTGTAATCAAAATTATTATAAAATTTTCATAATTTTTCGATTGTTAATCCTAAATATGCAGCAGTGTTGTTTATTCAATAGCAACCAAAAATTATTATAAGGGTAAAGTATAGTAATGATTACTGAACATTTTTGAAGCTTGCATTTAGATCCCCCAACTTTTAAAACTTGCAATACAGTCTCCCAACATTTATTCCATTTGTAATATGGTCCCCCAACTTAAATCACTGTTAGAAAATTAGGGTAAATTATATAAACGGTCATTGAACTTTTTAGGCACTTGAATTTAGGTCCCCAACTTTTAAAACTTGCAAAACAGCCCCCCAATAATTTTATTTTCTTATTAAATATAGATGTATAGAAAATATAAATGATTCAATTTATATTTAAATGTATGAATCATTTATATTTTTGATATATTTTATTTTTCTTGTATAAACTAGTATTTAAAATATGTTTATATTTTAATCAAAATATTTCAATATACGAATAAAAATATATTTATATAAATGTATATTTATATTTAGATGTATAAATAAAAAAATATATTCATATATTAATGTATGAATCATTTATATTTTTTGAATATTTTATTTTTAATAAGAAATTAAAATTATTAATTATATTAGAAATACTCAACTTAAGATTATATATATAATCATGAATTATAAATATGAAAAATATAATTATTAAATTTAGTTTAAAAATATATAAATCTTAAATTTATTCTTTTAAAATATTGTATCAACTAATATTTAAAAAATATATTAAATCTATCAAACAATTTATCAAATATAATATTTTTTATTGTAAAAAATATAATATTTTCCCATCATTTATTGCTTTCAAATTTTTTGCCGAAGTTCAAATCTCATTATTTCCATTTTCCATTATATTCTTTTTTTTCTGGCATTGGTCATACTATTAGTATATGTATTATTGTGTATCTCTTAACACAAACGATGATGTTAGCTTAGTGGCTCCACCCTGTATCTTTCATTTGCGTGACTTAGGTTTGAGTTTGCCCAAGACCCAAATTTTGCTTCTTTGTAACTTAATTTTCTTCTAATTAGGTGGTGACATGTGTCACCAATAACATATATCATGATCATGTGTTAACACATGTCAGATCCTGGTTAAATGATTAATTTATTAAATTTTATTTAATTTAGGACCAAATTGATAGCATATATAAATAATTAGGTGGTGACATGTGTCACCAATGACACGTGTCATGATCATGTGCTAACACATGTCAGATCCTAATTAAATGATTAATTTATTAAATTCTATTTAATTTAGGACCAAATTGATTATATAAATAATAAAGACTGAATGTATAATAATGTCAATTCCTTTTAACTGCCACTTCATCATTTGTATCAATTGGTAACGACTAGTGGCTTAGTTGAAACAGTTAAATAATTATGTTGTATGATTGATAAATTTAAAAGATCGATGACAAAAGTAAAAAGGGCTAGATAGTTAAGTTGTCAACCTAGTAGTTTACACTTTTATTTATACGTCAAAATAACATTTTATAAATTTAAAATTCGAATTATTTTCAACCTCTTCTATATCCTAACTATTTTTTTTAATTAAAAAAATTTCTTCAACAGATAAGAATTATACTATTATATTTATATAAAAAATACGTATCACATGAAATAAGATGAAATTAAATAATAATAAATCTGACATAATTGAATTTAATTGAATTATTTTGGAATTTAGGGTTTAGAATGAAATTGAATTACTTTGGAAATTGGGGTTTAGAATGAAATTGAGGACTGTTTTGCAAGTTTTAAAAGTTGGGGGACCTAAATTCAAGTGTCTGAAAAGTTTAATAACTTTTTATATAATTTACCCTAATTTCTAACGGTGGTTTAAGTTGGAGACCATATTGCAAACGGAATAAATGTTGGGGGACTGTATTGCAAGTTTTAAAAGTTGGGGGACCTAAATGCAAGCTTTAGAAATGTTCAGTGACCATTACTATACTTTACCCTTATTATAAATTATATACTTGCTTAAAGGGTAAATTACTCTATGGTCATTAAAGTTTGATTGAGTTTTTGTTTTTTACTGAACTTTCAAATGTTAAAAAATTATCATTAAAATTATCAATTTATAATAAAATAGTCACACGACGTAAACAACATTTAATCTCAGTGATAGAAAGCTTAGCATGATCGTTAAATGCGTACCTAAACCATTGACAACAACAACACTTAGGGATGAGCATGGGTCGGGTCGGATTTTCAGTCCACTCGACCAGACCCAAACATTTTTAATCTTTCACCTGACTCGAAAAATATACCATTTCCACCCAATCCAAACCGACTCAATTTTTTGAGATAAAATCCGAACCCGACCCGACTTAACCCAAAGTGAAATAATATATTTATTAAAAATAATATATTTATTAAAAATAATATTTTTATTAAATAAAAATAGAGATTTAATTAAAAGAAAATAATATATAGATGAATACTATTGTAATTATTCTTAAATATAAGATAAAATTATATATTATTTTTAATACATAATAATATTAGTTGAAGAGTCAGTCAATAGAGATTCCAGCGCGGTGGTCAATGGTCCAGTTCAGTTGTTTTCTAATATCGACCGATCATTTTTATTATAAATCATAAAATAAATCGATTGTAGTAGTGGCTAATTTATAACTTTTAAAAGATCAATAGAGAAAACAATTTTTTTTCAAACTTTAATGACCATTGGTACATTTTACCCTTTTCTAAATTTAATAAGATAATATTTTAAATTAAAAATCACATTAAATTAAAGGCAAAAAGACATTAGAGGCCCTCTAACTTAAAAAAAAATACCAATGTGGCCCCTATTATATATTTTAGATCAATATGGTCCTCCAACCCAAAAAAATAATCCAATGTGACCATTTGACTAACATTTTATGTCATTGACCAAGATTCCGTTAATTCCTACTACTATAAAATGCGTAAATCACACCTTTCATCACTCAACTATTTTCTTCTCTTTCATTTTGGTCACTAAATTCTAAAAATTTTCTATAAGAGGATATTTATCGCTATTTTATTAGATGGTTAGATTTATTAAACTATTTATAATTAAAATAATATTAAATTAATATAATTTATAAATATTAAAAAAATAAATTTATTAAATCATAATTTAAATTAAGACTAATCTGACTAAATATATAAATATGAAAACTAAATGTGTTATTGTATAAATTTTAAAATTATCATGTCAGACCCATTATAATATTTAAACTTCAATTAATAATTAGATTATGTGACTGGTCATTAAATTATGTGATTGATTTTATTCTTATCACTAAATAGAAAGATAATTAGATTAAGTTAATCCTAATTTAAAATATGATTTAAGAACTTTATTTTTTTAATAATTATAAATTATATCAATTTAATCTTAGTTTAATTCTAGATAATGAGGGTTACATGATAATTTTAAAATTTATACAATAAGATAGCGATAAATATCCTTGTATTGAAAATTTTTAGAATTTAGTGACCAAAATAGAAGAGAAAAAAATAGTTGAGTAATGAAAGGTGATATACCCATTTTATAACAACAGAAATTAACGAAATCTAGGTCAATGATGGAAAACGTTGGCCAAAGGATCATATTGTATTCTTTTTTCGAGTTAGAGGGTAACATTGATCTAAAAAATGATAGGGGTCACATTGATTTTTTTTAAAAGTTGAAGGGCCTTTGATGCCTTTTTGCCTAAATTAAACTTTCACAGAAAAAAAAACTATCCCACTTCATCCCTATATTTTGAAAACATCTCTAGCTCTCTAAATAACTAGTAAACCTCTTTACAGCCTGATTTCTTCACAACGTCGATTTTTCACTTATTTCACCATAATTATTACGCTAGAGGGGGGATTCCAGAGACAGAGAGCACATGTACCCTTGTTTAGTTGTTTGATGCTTGTGGTCCCCAGTATCCTTCATCCAACGGCTATGTCTGTTCCATGTGATTGTGGGGCCCTTTTCTTTGTTGGTATCCAGATCTTCTAAACGAGTCCAAATACGATCGTTGCGACTCTTTTTCGTTTATTTATAATCTCTCTGTGCCACTATTTTTCTTCATCATTCACTTCAGTCTCAACTCTCAAGAGAAAAAACCATAAGAATAATTTAAGAGAAAAATGAATCGCAGAAGTGCGTTCGCCGTTGCACTGATTTGCATTCTAGTAGCTGGTGTCAGCGCCCAAGCTCCGGGAGCCGCTCCCACTAAAGCTCCGCCGGCAGCGACTACGCCAGCTAGTGCTCCCGCCACCGCTCCCGTGAGTAAACCTAAAACTTCCGCTCCAACCGCTGCTCCTACTACTTCTCCACCAACTTCTTCATCACCTGCTTCATTGCCACCGGCTGCAGCTCCGAAGAAGTCCGCAGCGACTCCGGCTCCATCTAAATCTGCTCCGGCTTCTTCACCACCGGCTGCTACACCAGAAAGTTCTCCACAGGCTCCAGTCCCTGTGAGCTCTCCTCCAGCCAAATCTCCCCCGGCTGCTGCACCGACAACTCCCCCAGAGAGCTCCGCCTCTCCTCCTGCTCCTGTTGCGGCACCAACCGCAGCTGAGGTTCCTGCACCTGCTCCAAGCAAGAAGTCCAAGAAACGCAATGCACCCGCACCTTCACCTGATCTACTTGGACCTCCAGCTCCACCTACTGGAGCTCCCGGACCTAGCCTCGGCGCTTCCTCTCCCGGCCCTTCTGTCGCTGCGGATGAGGTACATTTCACTCTCTTTTCTCTCATTTCAATCTGTTTGGCCTATAAGTTATATCGTACAACAATGCACTTCACCAGATCTGAAATTTTAGGCTACCTACACGGGCATAATTTAATAACTGCGACTCAAATTTTTGCTAATGAACCTTAGAATTTAGAACTGAACTACGGCTCAAAATGGAGAGTAGATCTCGTTTAAGCGCGTTTGAATAGAGCGCCACTGATGAAAGTGGAACTTGAGCAATTAGTTTTCAGGAAAAAGTATGAATGGATCTGGAGCAAAAAAATGAGTCAATTACATCATATGATACACGAACATCATGCATTTCTAATTATAATTACTGTTTTAGGATTATAATTGTGTAAATGGATAAAAAAATTGCAGAGTGGAGCAGAGACAATGAAGAGCGTGCAGAAGACAATAGGAGGATTGGCGTTGGGATGGGCGGCGGCCCTTGCATTGATCTTCTAGAGAGAGAGAGATTTGAATCTGTGCTGCTTTATCTTTGTTTTATTTATTTATTTATTTATTTTTCTTTTTTAAAAGTCGAAAAGAAATAAATGATTAAAAACAGAAATAAAGCGGCACTCTGACATGTGAGATAGCTGTGTGGTTTTACTCTGCCACGTTTGCTTTGCAATTCTTTGGGGAAAGTTTTGAGTTTTCTTGGTTTCCCTCCTATTTGTTTTTAGATATGCTTCGTTCTGTAATTTTTCTTTTACTGCACTGTTGACCTATTTATATTTGTCTTTTTTTTTTTGACAAATGGATCACCAGTAATTCTTTCTTTCTTTTTTGATCCATTCACATTGTTCGACCTTGGATTCCATCTACCTCAACTCTTCATGGTTTTTAATTTTCTATTACTGAAACTAAAGTGTGAACCGAAAGCTCATGAAATTTCTATAATAATCTTAAATATAAAAATAAAAGTTTAATAATATCTAGAGTCTTCAATTTTTTAAAAGAAATTATAAATCTTTCTTCATCGAATGATAAACTGATATATATAACATATTGCATATGATTAGAAATAAGATAAATGAGCTGTATATATCAGCTTATAAAAAACACTTGAAAATAAGATTATAAATATATGAATATAGAAATTTGTAAGTAAGGTAAGTGTTTTTATATACTAATTTGTTTTATGATGTCAAACACTTGTGAATAATTCTTAAGTTATCTTAAATATGATTAAATGTGTATATTGATGTGAACATTTTAATGTTTTTTTAATTATATCTAGATGTAAAATTTGTAAATATTAATTAATTCAATAAAAATACTTTGTATAAGTGATGATGATATAACTATACAATAATAAAATTTTGTTGAGTATGCTAGTACTTATATGATATGAAAGTGTATGACATATGAAGTAATGATTTATATGTATAAAAAATTAAAATCAAATTACCTTTATTAATTCAATTATATGAATATGTTTAATTTACATTTTTGTCTGTTTGTTTTACGTATATATTATTATAATATATATTTAAAAATAATTTATAATTTATCATATTATTTTTCCCAACATTTATAGCTTATGATATAGTTTTTTATGTTTTATTAATTTTTAATAATTTTTAAATTTTAGTATTTGATTTTTTTAATATTTAAATATTTTATATATCAAATTAAAATTAATTTTTATTTTTCTAAAAAATCAATTAAGATCTTGAATTTTCTTTTTATAAAACACAATTCGACCTTTGAATTTAATAAATGAATCAATCAAACTTTTTTATCACATCATCAACCACTATGAAATATCACATAAATATTGTAGAGTGTGACACAATTAACATTTGCTTTTGTTGGTCAAATGATCATATTAATGTTTTTTAAGTTTAAAGACTATATTGAATATAAAAATATTTAGGGATTATATTTATTATTTTAGAAAAAATTAAAAAAAGTCAGTTATTATTAAACGTTAATTAAAAGATAATAATCCTTAAATTAGGAGACCATTAAGGTTAAAATATAGCCTAGATAGTGAAAGGTGTAGGAAATGACCCAAATGGTAACTCACAAGAGAGAAAATTATTGGATTAAAATCCATATTTTTGGCATATATGTATAATGTAGAATGTTATCATTAAGGTTAAAATATAGCCTAGATAGTGAAAGGTGTAGGAAATGGCCCAAATGGTAACTCACAAGAGAGAAAATTGTTGGATTAAAATCCATATTTTTGGCATATATGTATAATGTACAATGTTATCATAAAGTATGACACAAAATTAAGTGACCAATTATATTACATGTGTTATATGTATTAAAGTGTCATGAAATCAAAGTGTAGATACCATAAATTAGTTGACCCTTATTCCCATATGTAATGGGGTAAGAGGGAGGTAAGATAGTAGGCTTCCCCCAACGCTAGGTTGAGAGCAGCTTCCGTAGGAGACCTCCAAATTATGAAATGCCCTCCGTGGGACTCGATCCCACGACCTCAAGGTTAAGAGCCTTGTGCTCTACCAACTGAGCTTGATGGTCATTTCAAAATGTAGATACCATAAGTTGTATTTAAATTTGATGAGGGATATCATTGTAAATACTTAAAAGATTGACCTAATATTGAATTTATATAAAAGAGGCAGTAGTCCCTAAGAGATAGGTTAACTTGTATTACTCTTATCCTATTAGAGAGTTTTTACGACAAGAGAAAACCTATATTCTTGGAATATCACAACCAAAGAAAGACTCAAATATTTCAACCTATCAATTAATTCATGTATGTTTATGCAAATCTAGTATTTTGTTGTTGATGATTTGACATGATTAGATCTTGATTAGTTTATATTTATGGTTTGGTTTGTACAAATGGTATCATCGTCTCATCATGTTTAATAATTGAGAATCAACTATTTTTTTAAAATTGATGTTTTATAGGATTTTAATTTCCGTATAAAATTTTATTGTGATTCTTATAAATTGTGATCGCATAACATTTAGGGTTTATTTTATATACGGTTTCTATTTTTTAATTTAACTTTATCGATGATTAAGGTATGTTGTCGATATTGTTTAGTTGATGAACGACAGTTTTTTTAATTGTTTGGTACCGATAAGTTTTTTATGCGATTTTATTTCTCAAACTTTACTGTTGCTATTTGTTCCCCCCCCCCCCAGGCTCTTAATTGCTACAATTTTATTGTTGTCGTATTATGCCTTCACGGGTTTGGATGTTATCAATCATTGAATTATATTTGGATTATTATGAAACTATAATGATGTGACTATTGGTGATTGTTGATTTGAAAACAATATAGTTTTCGTAAGGTTTTCATGCAAACTAGAATATAGAAAATTGAATTTTAACTTGTGACAGTTTGACAATATTGTCATTATTTTCTTAATCATTTGGTCATATTTTCTTATACGATTCTATTAATATTTTTATGTTATTCACGGTTTAGAAACATAATTATGCGATTCTTAATTATGAGATTTACGATTACGTATACCATGAAATTCATGTCTTGATATTTTCAATTGTCATGAAACTCATGGCTTGATATTTTTCAATTGCGATTCATGGTGTAAGCCAAGGCCTAATTTTAACACGTATTAATTTTGCTCATGGTATTTTATGCTAAATGTTTAATTTGATTGAATTTATTTCATTGTAAATTTAATTTGATTTTAGTTTCTTGTATCGTTAATTTGGTGAATCCATGATTAAGAAATTATTGAGAGTTAGTCAATTTTTTTAAGTTTTTGATTTCTAATATGTTATTTAGATAACCTTATTATAGGTTACTTTGAAAACTATGACGTGATTAGAAAATTCAGTTTTATTTTTTTACTATTATAGATTATATATATATATATATATATTTGGTATTGATATATTCAATTCAATTTGATTAAAGATTTAATTCACTAGTATGTACTTTGATTTTGACTTTTAGCTAAACTTTTTTTTTTCCGTTTTGTCTCTAGTAATTTCTGAAGTTATGAATTAAACGCATGTTTAAGGAATTCTTCAAAAACAATCAAAGACTTAAGTTTTCGATTTATGATAGCACTTTTTATGTAAAACCTTATTCTGGATTATTTCAGATATTGTAGTGCAATCAGAAATTTTAGTTTTGACCTATGATTGTTATAGAAATATTAAATTTGAATATTAATATTTGGCATCAGTTATGGAAAATATTTTATATATATGTTATGTACATGTAACTTAAGACATGTTACTATTGATAAGCCCAAAGAAAAAATAATAGTTGACATAATTGCATGTACGACTTTGGTAATAAGCATGTGATAATTATTTGGCTTGATGTATGAGTAATAAATCGACCCAAAGGAAGATTTTTGCTTGACATGTTCTTATTATCAATGTTTGGTTATCGTATAAGATATCACTTAAGGTGAATATTTTGTCTGTCGTAACCGGTTTTCGCCCGGGCACGAAATTTTTTTTATTTGGCAGGAAAAGTGATGTTTAATAAATGATTTTTTTTATATAATTTGGGAGTCGCCATCGGCCTTTTGGGTTAGGTAGGTCGAATACCTAAAAATTATCTTTTAAAAGAGTTTTAAGAAAACATCAGTTAAAAGATGAACTGATCTGCGTTTATAACCAAAAATTCGTTCTTTTTAATAATAAAAAGGGTTTCGTGGTTGGTTACGTTTAGGGAAGGATTAACACTCCTACAACGCCCAAAATTGATACTTTTGAATTATAAATTGTCTCTATTATTAAAAATTCAAAATATATTTAATTTATAATCCTATTTAATTCAAATATTTTTAAGAAAATATATTAAACATAAATAATATTTACTTATTTAGAAATATCAAAAGGACTTCTAGGTGCCTTAAGACATCTCTTTTCTTCGATATTAATAATTTTTCTTTGATATTAATAAATAAATAAATATTAAAATGATAAAATATTTATGTAAAATCAAATTAAGATTTAATATAAATTATTATTTATTATATATTTATGACTATATAATAATAATAACAAGTAAAATTAAGGCATAAATAAACAATAATAAAAATAAAATTAGAACTATATATTTAAAAGCAGTAAAACTTTATAATAAATGAAAATATTTAAAATTAGTGACTAAATTATAATCTAATAAAATTAAATACCTAATTCGTAATTAATTATTTAAAATTACAGGGATTAAACATGCTATTCTCCTTATTTATTAATTTAGTAACTAAACTAAAATTATATAAAATTCGAATATCAGATTAAAATAAATTAAAAATATGTACTCAGGATTAAAATATTAATTATTAAAACTAAAGGACTAAATACGTATTTTATCTAAAATATTTATAATTACGGTTAAGGGCTAAAATATAAATAAATAAAATTTAGAGACCAAATTAAAAGGATAATAAATTTGATTCAGTGACTAAAATGTAAAACATATAAAACAGAGGGACTACGGACAGGGTTTAACATTTAAAAATTACACAAATAGCCCTCCCCAAAACGGCGTCGTTCGGGAAGGGCTATTTAAGCCTGAAACGGCTGGCCCGAAGGGCCAGCTCTCTCATTTCTCAGTTTACTCTCTCTCTAAACTGAGAGAGTTTAAAACTCTCTCGCATCTCTCTAGCTTCCCTCATCGGAGGGAAGCCGGTCACCGGGCGACAGCTGTCTACCGCCGTAATCCCCACCGCCGGCCA